AAATCATGATCATAAACAGTTGTAACAAAAATGTGTAGTTGTTTGTACTCCCTTAAAGTAAGGAGAAGCTGTCTTTGGATCAAAAAGATCCTGATGGAAACTGTCAATGTAAATGTCTTTGTTATTTTTGAGAAACTAACGGTCTTCTTTTCTGTACAACAGATGATCATCTTCAACAAGGATGGGTGCAATTCAACCACAGCTTCTATTATATTTCTTCTGTGGGGAAAACCTGGGATGAGAGTAGAGAGGACTGTAAGAAAAGAGGTGCAGACCTGGTGATTATCAACACTGTCGAAGAACAGGTGTGTGTATGTGTGTGTGTGTGTGTGTGTGTGTGAGTAAATGTGTCAAGGGAAATAGGATGAATGCAATATCAGTCGCATTTATATTGATTACTGATTTTTGTTGTAAGAATTTTATAGCAAGATTTACCGGTTCACAATGGCTTGGACTGACATACGATGAGGACACAAAGAAGTGGAATTGGGTAGATGGGACTCCGCTAGACAAAAGGTTCACACATTATTATTTCATTCAACTCAGAATAATTCATTTTAAACTTAAACCACATTCTTGTACACTGCCAGCTGTTAAATGCTTCTTGGGTTGTATCCTTTGTTAAGAAATGTCTTTTTTCATTTGTGTGTGTTTCAGCTACTGGAACGGAATACAGCCTGACGGTGTGGATAGAGGCGAACACTGTGTACACATCCAGTTCTACAGTTCTGGAAAAAAAGAATGGAATGACATCACATGCACAGCGCAATATGCCTGGATCTGTGAAAAGAAACTGGCTCTATAAGTCAACATATAAAAGCTTGCAAAGCTGAAATGTGCTTCAAGTGCGATATGAGTACACATTTTCATGTACAGTAGTCTCTGGATGGCTGTTTTACAATCCTGTACTGTGTATGTGAGCATATTGGATTTTGGATAGGGAGGCGTGATGTAACGACTTATTTACAGAACATGCCTGAAGGCTAATGACACTGAGAAATTACACTGGTTTATTCGTATGTACAACGTCACAGAAAAATGAAAGCCTGCACTGCATAAACTCGTCTGTTGCCACATCTTTATGGGGGATACATACTGAGAAGTGAGAGTTTGAAGTGACATTTCTTATCAGAAACCTAATGTACGTTTATCCCCCTAGAACAGGAAGAGATGCGTCAGACTAATGAGTAATTAATTCATGTTATTTCACATCTGATGATGAAACTATGTTGATGTGATGTGAGTAAGATGGTTGCTTGACATGATGTCAAAAGAAAAGTGGAGAAAAGTTTGTCAGAATGATTCAGACATTGATATGACTTGTACGTCCTGCTTGGATGATGCTTTTTTTAAATTTATTTTTTTATTTTTCAAAAAATCCTTTTTAGATGTACGTGTAGTGGTATGTAACAAGTTGCAGTCTCATTTCCAGAGGTTTTATGCTATATTAGGTTTTGAATGTCTATATAAAAACTATTTTTGGAGCTAACAGGGCATTTGGATACACAATGAATTGGTGTTTGAGTTTGTTAACTGTCAATGAAAGCACTTGAAAGGTGATTGACAGTTTAGTTTGCGTTGACTTCTGTTGTGCTGAATGTGTGAAGTGAACTTAATATTGAGAAACATGCGTTTGTCAGTTGTAAAATATTGTAACTTACAATTTGTGTGTAACAGTTCACGTTTGTGGCTGTGAAAAGATGCAGTAGATTTATTGTATTTAGATCCCAGTGACCTGAAAACTGTCACTGTGAAGCAGTAACAATTCTAATTATTTTACAGCTCACAAAATTTTGTAATTTATTCGATGCAAATATATGAAATTGGAAGTTTATGCACGATGCTGTTGTGTTTTATTTGCTAAAAAAATATATCTTCTAACCCTACTTTCATTTGTTATTGCAATCAAGCACAACATTTGCCACATGCCAACCTAACGTCTGTTTCACATATC